TTGGGTTTTTCAATTATAAACTACTATGATCAAACTACTAACTGAAACTAGATTATGCTACGAGATAATTGCTAAAGTTGTATCTAATGAGAAGAAGGGCACTAGGTTCGTGACATCACCTAGGTGGCTAATTTACGGGTAGATGTTACTAAGGTTCGATTGACATAATTGGGGCTTATTCTATAACCGTTGCACAATTTTACCCACTCTCACACCTCTCGGTAGAGAGAGTGATTTTGCCCACTTGACTCTCTCGAGACCAACTGGGTAGGCAAATTAGATCAAACAACTAGGGTTCAAGTAGGGTGATTACTCTCTCGAGATTTAACCCGTTAATTGGGACTATCATTTCTCATGAGTCCATCACAATTCCTTGTTGGGTCAATTTTGGAGACTTAGACTCTCTTTCTCAAGAAGAGTCAAATCCACAAAGCACAAATCAGTGTTTGCAACCACCAATTTATAGATTAAAACATAAAATCAACCCAATTAGCAAACACCCATAGTCAATCAAACCCTAGATGTCAACACCCATCAATTACCCACACTAGGGTTGAGCCACAACCCTAGCTAATGGGTTTAGCTACTCATGCTTGAAGGAGAAAATGAAGAAATAGATGAAGAACAAGACATATTAATTAAATACTAAATTAAAGTACAAGAATCTATCGTTAAATTGAAGCTAAGATGCCAAAAATGGCTACAAAATGAGTCTCACAAGCACAGCCCAAAGTCTGGAAATAACTGATGACCTAAAAATGGTAAAATGTTCTATTTATACTAAGCTGGAAAAACTGAACAAAAATACCCCTGCGGGGTCAGTGCGGGCCGCACAAAATGGACCGCGGCCGCACAAGGCTCTTGGATTTCAAAACTTGGCTCTCTGAAGTTGGGCTCCGCGGACCGCGACCGCGGAGGCAGCTAGCGCGGTCCGCACAAAGATGACCGCGGACCGCAAAGGCTTGGAATCTAGCAATTTCAACTCTCTGAATCTCTACTCCGCGGACCGCACAAAATGGTCGTGCGGCCGCGGAGCCTTCAGCGCGGACCGCACAATTTGTACAGCGGCCGCGTTGCCTGAAGCTTGTAAATGCCAACGCTCTGAATCTACCTAGTGCGGACCGCACAAAGTCGAATGCGGCCGCACTAGGCCTTTTTATCTTCAGTTTGTCTTGTCTAAGATACTTGAGCGGGTTTCACTCCCTTTTGAGCCGATCCTTGACATTTCGTCACTTTGTCGGTCAAACCTACAATCAAGCACACTTATGAGCCTTTTGGGACTATTTTGTAACAATTTATAACCAAAGCATAAGCAAGAAGGAGTATAATGGCAAAATCCCTAGTTATCATCGCCCGGGACCATACAGATGGCATAGGCTCACAAGAAAATCTAAGAATCGGGCGAAATTCTACTTTCATGGCCCTAAAACATAAAAAAACGAGGACCGGTAGGTCATGACTATTGTTCCTTAGGTCATTTTTGATGTGCCGACAAAATATTAGGCGATTAGGGTCCGGTCACCTGAGCTCATGCATATGGCGTGGGCAATAACACTCAAAAATTTGGGAAACAGGCGAAATTTCAGTTTTATGTCCCTAAAACGCGAAAAAAACGAGAAACGTTCATGGCGAGGCGATGACTATTGTTCCTTAGGTCATTTTTGAGGAGCCGATAAAATTTTAGGTGATCAAGGTCTGTTCGCCCGGGCCTATGCAAATGACATGGGCTATAGCAAACGAAAATCTAGGAATTATGATGCAAAAATACGAGGAAAGATCATGGCGAGGCGTTGACTATTATTCCTTAGGTTATTTTTGATGGGAAGGCAAAATTTTTGGTGATCGGGGTCAAGTCGTCCCGGCCCATGAGATGGCGTGGGCTATAGCACACAAAAATCAGGAAATCAGGTGGAATTTCAGTTTTATGGCCCTAAAAAGCCAAAAAATGAGGAACGATCATGGAGAGGCTATGACTATTGCTCCTTAAGTCACTTTTGATGGGCCGGCAAAATTTTATGGGCTATAGCACTCGTAAATCTGAGATACGGCAAAATTCCAGTTTTCTGTCCCTAAAACGCCAAAAAAATAAGGATCGGTCATGGCGAGGCGATAACTATTGTTCCTTAGGTCGTTTTTGATGGGCCAGCAAAATATTAGGCGATCGGGGTTCAGTCACCCGGGCCCATCCAGATGGCGTGGGCTATAGCACTCGAAAATTTGAGAATCGGTAGAATTCTAGTTTTATGGCTCTAAAATGCCAAAAAATGAGGAACGGTCACGGTGAGGCGATGACTATTGTTCCTTAGGTCGTTTTTGATTGGCCGGCAAAATTTAAGGCGATCAGGGTCCGGTCGATCGGGCCCATGCAGATGGCGTGGGCTATAGCACAAAAATATTTGGGAGTCAGGCGTAATTCCAGTTTTATTGCGCTACAATGCCAAAATATGAGGAACGGTCATGGTGAGGCGATGACTATTTTCTATAGGTCGTTTTTTATGTGCTGGCAAAATATTAGGCGATCGGGGTCTGGTCGCCCGGGCCCATGCAGATGGCGTGGGCAATAGCACACTAAAATTTGAGAATCGGGCGGAACTACAGTTTAATGGCCCTAAAAGCCAAAAAAATGAAAAACGGTCATGGCGAGATGATAACTATTGTTCCATATGTCATTTCTTGGGAGCCAACAAAATTTTAGGTGACAGGGTCTGGTCTCCCAGGCCTATGCAAATGGCATGGGCTATAGCACACGAAAATCTAGGAATCGTGCAAAATTCCAGTTTTATGGCCGTATAACGCCAAAATACGAGGAAAGATCATGGCGAGGCGTTGACTATTGTTCCATAGGTTATATTTGATGGTAAGGCAAAATTTTAGGCGATCGAGGTCTAGTCGCCCCGGCCCAGGCACATGGCGTGGGCTATAGCACACGAAAATCAGGGAATTGGGAGGAATTTTAGTTTTATGACCCTAAAACGCCAAAAAATGAGGAATGATCATAGCGAGGCGATGACTATTGCCGCTTAGGTCGTTTTTGATGGTCTGGCAAAATTTTATGGGCTATAGCACACGAAAATCTGGGAATCGAGCGTAATTCCAGTTATATGGCCCCAAAATGCTAAAAACGAGGAACGGTCATGGCGAGATGATGACTATTATTCCTTAGGTCATTTTCGATGGGCCAGGAAAATATTAAGCGATCGGGGTCCAGTCGCATGTGCCCATGCAGATGGCGTGGGCTATAGCACTTAAAAATTTGTGAATCGGGTGGAATTATGGTTTTATGTCTTTAAAACGCCAAAAATTAAGGAACGGTCATGGTGCGGTGATGACTATTGTTCCTTAGGTCATTTTGGTTTGGCCGGAAAAATTTCAGTCGATCAGGATCCGATCGACCGGGCCCATGCAGATGGCGTGGGCTATAGCACACGAAAATATGGGAGTCGGGCGTAATTCCAGTTTTATGGCAATAAAATGCAAAAAACAAAATGAGGAACGGTCATGGAGATGATGACTATTATTCCATAGGTCATTTTTGATGGGCCGGAAAAATATTAGGCGATCGGGGTCCGGTCGTCCGGGCCCATGCAGATGGCGAGGGCTATAGCACAAGAAAATCTAGGAATCGGGTGGAATTCCAGTTTTATGGTCCTAAAACACCAAAAAACAAGGAACGATCACGGCGAGGCATTGAATATTATTCCTTAGGTCTTTTTTGATGGGCCGGTAAAATATTAGGTGATCGGGGTCTAGTCGTCCGGGCCCATGCAAATGGCGTGGGCTATAGCGCACAAAAATTTGGAACTTGGAGGAATTTCAGCTTTATGGCCCTAAAACTCCAAAAAATAAGGAACGATCGTGGCGAGGCGATGCCTATTGTTCCTTAGGTTATTTTTGATGGGCCAACAAAATTTTAGGCGAATCGGGGTCTAGTTGACCAGGCTCATGCAGATGGCGTGGGCTATAGCACACGAAAATCTGGGAATCAGGCGTAATTCAAGTTTATGGCCCTAAAATGCTAAAAACGAGGAATGGTCATGGAGAGTCAATGGCTATTAATCCTTAGATCGTTTTTGATAAATCGAAAATAATTTAGGCGATCGGGGTCTGGTCGCCCGGGCCCAGGTAGATGGCGTGTGTAGCACACGAAAATCTGGGAATCAGGCAGAACTTTAGTTTTATAGCCCTAAAATGACAAAAATTAAGGAACAGTCATGGCCGATGACTGTTTTTCCGTAGGTCATTTTTGATGGGCCAACAAAATTTTAGGCGATCGTGGTCCGGTCGCTTGGACCTGTGACGACTCGGCCGGTCGTTTCATGAGTTACAAACCCGTTTCCCCCATTTTTGCTTCTTTATGTGTTGTTCAGTTGTATTTCATCATATCGTGTTGGTTGTTCAGTGTTCGGAATGGTCTTGGAGTGGAATGAGACACTTAGTCTCTAATTTAGGAGTTTAAGTGGAAAAAGTCAACCGGATGTTGACTTATGAGTAGAAGGTCTCGGATGTGAATTCCGATGGTTCGGATAGCTTCGTTAGGTGATTTTGGACTTAGGAGCGTGTTCGGAATGTAATTTGGAGGTCCGTGGTAGATTTAGGCTTGAATTGGCGAAATTGGAAATTTGGAGCTTTCCGGTCGCCAGTGGACATCTTGATATCGGGGTCGGAATGGAATTCCGGAAATTGGAGTAGGTCCGTTGTGTCATTTGTGACGTGTGTGCAAAATTTCAGGTCATTCAGATGAGGTTTGATAGGTTTTGTATCGTTTGCGGAATTTGGAAGTTTTGAAATCCTTAGGCTTGAATCCGAGGGTGATTTGGTGTTTCGATGTTGTTTTGAGTGTTCCGAAGGTTGGTATAAGTTTGAATGATGATATGTGACTTGTCGGTATGTTTGGTTGAGGTCCCGAGGGCCTTGGGTTGATTTCGGGAGGTTGACGGATCAAGGATTGGATTTGAGGAAGTGCTGAAGAATTCCTTCAGCTGTCATAACCGCACCTGCAGAGTGGGGACCGCAGGTGCGATGTCCGCAGGAGCGAGGAAGCAGCCGCAGATGCGGCCATAGGTGAGAAGGCCAGGAGCCGCAGATGCGGAAGAAGGGACGCACCTGTGTGACTGCAGGTGCGGGTAAGAGGTCGTAGATGCGGTTAAGGGAGAATAAGTGAAAACCGCAGATGCGGTTGGTTGGACCGAGAAGCGGTCCCGCAGGCGCGGGTAGTGGACCGCAGGTGCGTAAATCGCTGGGCAGAAAGTATAAAAGGCCATCTTCGCAAATTTCAGCCATTTATCCACCATTTTTGGACGAGTTAGAGCTTGGGGATTGCGATTTCAAGGGGGAATTAAGTGTTTTCAGTGAGGTAAGCTACTTGGGCCTTGTATCTTGTGTTTATGGCAATTATTCCATTGTTTAATCATGATTTGAGTGGGAGAATTAGGGAAGAAATTGGGAGATTAGGGCTTGAAATTGGAGAGTTTAAATTGGGGATTTGAGGGGTCATTTGAGGTCCGATTTTGATGATTTGGATATGTATAGACTCGTGAGGGGATAAGGATTCTAGTGTTGTAATTTTTATCGGATTCAGAGACGTGGCTCGGGGGTCGGGTTTGGCCAATTTCGGGAATTTTGATTAAATTTGATAATTTTCGCGTGGGCTTTGTTCCTTTGGCATGTATTGATGATATGATTTTGATTTTGGATAGATTCGGGGCAATTTGAGGCCGAGTCGAGAGGCAAGGGCATTGCGGATTAGATTTTCATCCGGTTTGAGGTAAGTAACTATTGTAAATCTAGACCTGAGGGTAAGAAACCCCGGAATTTCGTACTATTTTGATAAATAAAGTGACGCACATGCTAGGTCACGGGCGTGTGGGCATACACCCGTAGGGATTGTGACTTGGTCCGTCCCGTGGCAACTGTAGAGTTGCATATTTTGATAAACTCTATACGATATCTATGTGTTTTAGCAATGATTTTGTTAACTTGGGCTGAATTCCATGTTTGGGACCTTGTGCCGTACTATTTGGACCCTTAGGGGTATTTTACTATTATCCTCACATTGTTTTGATGGAAAGCTTTATCCTCAGTCATGGTTTATACTTGTTTATTATTAAATCTTGTTCTTCACGCTATTTTAATTTTTATGAACGTGTTTGTGCTGAGTTCCCTAAGTTCGCACTGAGATGCCCGGGTGGCTTGTGAGGTTGATGAGTGAGTGAGGCCGAGGGCGCGATTGTAAGGATATTTATGGATCGGGCTGCACGCCGCAGCGTTATATATATATATATATATATATATATATATATACACACACACATGGATCGGGCTGCACGCCGCAGCGATATGTTGGATCGGGCTGCACGCCGCAGCGATATAGCGCTTGGGCTGTAGGAGCCCCTCCGGAGTCTGTACACCCCCAGTGAGCGCAATCGACTATATTTACGGATCGGGCTGCACGCCGCAGCGGTTATTATGAGGTACCTGTTGAGTGTGAGTGCTGAGTGTGAGTACTGATTGATGATAGTGGAGTCACGAGTGACTGAGAGGCTTGACCGAGAGGCTATACATATATATGAGTGATACCTTGCCCAAGGGGCTTGTTTTTATGAAAATATTATTTTCACTCTTCCTTATACTGAGCCTCTATTGAAATGTTGAATAAATGTTTTTAACAACCTTCATTGAAACTGGAGTTTTTACTAAATGTTCAGAATTTGATTACTGATTGATCTTGCTATTTCCACTGAGGTTCTTATGTTATGATATGTATATGATTTTAAATGCTCGTCACTGCACTCAACCTTTATTTATAATTGTTACTTACTGAGTTGGCGTACTCACGTTACTCCCTGCACCTTGTGTGCAGATCCAAGTGCCAGAGCATCTGAGTGAGAGCTAATCTTTGCCTTCAGAGTATTTTCCGGAGTTAGCAAGATAGCTGCACGGCGTCCGCAGCCCCGTCTTTCTCCTCCCTATCTTTTAGTATTTTATTTAGCAGACTCACTTGTATTGAGTAGACAGTATCAGATTGTATTCTAGTGGCTCATGACTAGTGACACCGGAATCGGGTAGTGTTGGATATTTTTGGCATATTTGTTTCCGCTTATTTGAAATGTTTAAACGAAAGAATTGTGAAAATATCTAATTAGTAAATGAAGTAAGAAAAAGACCTTTTATGTTTTAAATGTTGAATCGGCTGGCCTAGTACTGCGATAGGCGCCATCACGACCGGGGGTGATTTGGGGTCGTGACAAGTTGGTATCAGAGCCTAGGTTACATAGGTCTCACGGGTCATGAGACGGTTTAGGAGAGTCTCGCGAATCAGTACGGAGACGTCTGTACTTATCCTCGGGAGGCTGCAGAACCTTTAGGAAAAACTTCACATTCTTGAAATTCCTGTCGTGCGAATCTGTTGATTCTAGTACTAAACTTCTGTTATTCTATTCTCTCACAGATGGTGAGGACACGTGCTACCGGACAGGATGGAAGGCCACCAGTACCACCAGTTGGGGCCACTAGAGGCCGAGGTCGCGGTCGAGGCCGTGGTAAGGGCAGGGGTATAGCCCGCACAATAGCTAGGGCAGCACCTGCAGATCCACCAGTCGCCCCAGTTCATGATCGGGTCCCAGTTGCGGATGCTCCAGCAGGACCAGCTCAGTCACCGACTGTGCCTATTGTTATTCCGGGTCTTCAGGAGACCTTGGCTCAGATCTTGACCGTGTGCACTGGTCTTGCTCAGGCGGTCACAGTTTCTACTACAGCAGCTACTTCTCAGGCCGGGGGAGGCACTCAGACTCCCGCCGCCCGCACACTCGAGCAGTTTGTTCAGGGATTGCAGACATCGGAGGCACCACCAGCCCAGCCGATTGCACCTGCTCAGGATTTTGTAGTACCAGTTATGCCTGAGGACGAGCAGCGTCGATTGGAGAGGTTTGGTAGACTACAACCTCCGACTTTCAGTAGTGCAGAGGGCGAGGATGCCCAGGGTTTCTTGGACAAGTGTCAGAGGATTCTTTGTAAAACGGGTATTCTGGAGACCAATGGGGTCGTGACAGGGCCCATGCATGTGTCGTGGGCTATAGCAATCGAATATGTGGCAATCGGGTGAAATTTCAATTTTATGGCCCTAAAACACCAAAAAAATGAGAAATGATCATGGCGAGGCGATAACTATTGTTCCTTAGGTCATTTTTGAGGAGCCAAAATTATTTTAGGTGATCAGGGTCTGTTCGCCCGAGCCTATGTAAATAGCGTGGGCTATAGCACACGAAAATCTGGGAATCGGGCAAAATTCCAGTTTTATGGTGAGGCGTTGACTATTGTTCCTTAGGTTATTCTGATGGGCAGGCAAAATTATAGGCGATCGGTGTCTAGTCGCCCCGGCCCATGCAGATGGCATGGGCTATAGCACACGAAAATCAGGAAATCCCGAGGAATTTTAGTTTTATGGCCCTAAAACACCAAATAATGAGGAACGATCATGACGAGGCGATGAATATTGCTCCTTAGGTCATTTTTTGATGGGCCGTCAAAATTTTATGGGCTATAGCACACGAATATCTGCGAGTCGGGCGTAATTCCATTTTTATGGCCCTAAAACGCTAAAAACAAGGAACGGTCATGGCGAGGCGATGATTATTGTTCCTTAGGTCATTTTTTATGGGCCAAAAAAATATTAGGCGATCGGGGATCGGTCTCCCAGGCCCATCCATATGGTGTGGGCTATAGCACTCGAAAATCTAGGAATCGGGTTAAATTCTAGTTTTATGGATTTTAATCGCCAAAAAATGAGGAGCGGTCATGGTGAGGCGATGACTATTGTTCCTTAGGTCATTTTTGATTGGCCGGTAAAATTTTAGGCGATCAGGGTCCGGTCGACCGGGCCCATGCAGATGGTGTGGGCTATAGCACACAAAAATCTGAGAGTCGGGCGTAACTCCGATTTTATGGCCCTAAAATGCCTAAAAACGAGGAACAGTCATGGAGAAGCGATGAGTATTGTTCTATAGGTCATTTTTGATGGGCCGGCAAAATATTAGGCGATCTTGGTCCGGTCTCCCGGGCCCATGCAGATGGCGTGGGCCATAGCACATGAAAATCTGGGAATCGGGCAAAATTCTAGTTTTATGGCCCTAAAATGCCAAAAAACGAGAAATGGTCATGGTTAGGTGATGACTATTGTTCCTTAGGTAATTTTTGAGGAGCCAGCAAAATTTTAGGTGATCAGGGTCTTGTTGCCCGGGCCTATGTAAATGGCGTGGGCTATAGAACACGAAAATCTGAGAATCGGGAGAAATTCCAGTTTTATGGCCCTAAAACGCCAAAATATGAGGAAGGATCATGGAGAGGCGTTGACTATTATTCCTTAGGTTATATTTGATGGTCAGGTAAAATTTTAGGCGATCGGGGTCTAGTCACCCTGACCCATGCAGATGGTGTGGGCTATAGCACACGAAAATTAAAGAATCGAGAGGAATTTCAGTTTTATGACCCTTAAACGCCAAAAAATGAGGAACGATAATGGCAAGGCAATGAATATTGCTCCTTAGGTCATTTTTTACGGGCCGAAAAAATTTAATGGGCTATAGTACACGAAAATTAGGAGTAATTCCAGTTTTTTGGCCCTAAAATGCTAAAAACGAGGAACGGTCATGGCAAGGCGATGACTACTGTTCCTTAGGTTATTTTTTATGGGCCGGAAAAATATTAGGTGATCGGGGTCCGTTCGCCCAGGCCCATGCAGATGGCGTGGCTATAACACTCAAAAATTTGGAAATCCGGTGGAATTATGGTTTTATGGCTCTAACACGCTAAAAAATGAGGAACGGTCATGGTAAGGTGATGACTATTGTTCCTTTGGACGTTTTTGATTGGCTGACAAAATTCATGCGATCAGGATCCGGTCGATCGGGCCCATGCACATGGCGTAAGCTATAGCACACGAAAATCTGGGAGTCGGGCGTAGTTCCTGTTTTATGGCCCTAAAATGCCAAAAAACGAGGAACGGTCATGGCGAGGTAATGACTGTTGTTCAATAGGTCATTTTTGATGGGCTAGAAAAATATTAGGCGATCGGGGTCCAGTCGCCCGGGCCCATGCATATGGCGTGGGCTATAGC